TGAATCTTCATGATGTTTCATGATGTGAAAAAAGGGGAGGTGAAAAGAATCAAAACAAACACTCAGGTGTGAACACATCAACATTAACCGCAGACACACACACACACACACACACACACACACACACACACACACACACACAGCTGCGCGTCCGTCCGAGTCTCAAACTGCCGTTTTTTGCCCCTTTCCTTTACATCCAAGCATTAAACAGGCGAGTCCTACTAAAGCGTCCTCATCCTCCTTAAGAGCAATTATCCGCCGCGTTGCCTTTAAATAGACCGTCTCCCTCGTGACTCAAGTAATTAGCTCACTGCCTGAGAAAAGGTTCAAAAAGAAAAGCTCTGTTCCAAAAAAATATCACCGCTTCAAAGAGGAAAACGGAATTGCACGTAGCTCTCACACACACACACACACACACACACACACATACACACACACACACACACACACACACACACACACACACACAAGATGCCACAATGAACGCGGTGTATACGAGACCGTGGATGCTCCGAACCACGGCAGTAATGAGAGGAAAAAGGGCCCCGCTGTCCTCTCGTATTCACTCGTGCCCTCGCCTGAAGCCGCCCGCTTAACCTGGACTCCCTCGCTTACATCTGGCAACGCAAACAGCGATCACGTCACAAGAAAAGTGGGTCGAAAAAAACAGCAGCGCGTGAAGGCGCGCGGCGCCTACAGCCCGACCCGCTGACCCGACGGTGACCTTGTAACCGAGCGGGGGATCAGGGGAGCGAAGCGGCCTGCTGCTGCTGCTTACCCCTAAACAGAGCCGGAGCGGGGATCAGGTGTACACGACAAACACTGGGACCGGGTCCTTTAACCCCCCCCACTGTGCTGTGTACACAACACACACACACACACCAGCATGTGTATCATGCCTGCCAATATCCACCCGGATGTCCTATTTCAGATTTAGTTTGGAAATCTAAGTTATTACACCTTACTTACGCTTTAAGTCCACAATTTCTCCTCAACTTGCTTGAAAACAACAGTTTCTGCTTGATTCATCGAAGCCAAACTGAAACACCAATAACATAACCGTGTTTTCGTTGGTTTCACGGGGACATGGAAGGGATAACTGCAGATGTCTTGTGCATCGTCTCTTGGTGTGGTTTGCGGGAGTAGATTATAGGTGCGCTTGGCACATTTCTCTGTAATTATTAGGAAAGCTCACTAATTAACACGTTGTATCTTTGCCTAATCGGTTAAAAGAAAATGGGCTGTTTTATCGTGGCTTGCGTGCCAGAGCATCTCTCGGTTCCGAGCAGTTGCCAGGCAACCAGCAGACGCTGCAAAATTACAGGTTGGAAAACAGTCCAACACATAATCCTCCTAAAAGAACATTTAAAATACAAAACCACAATACAGGAGGTGTTCGTTTCGTCTGCTGGCCGTGCAATCAAGAAATGATGACACAATCTCTTTAAAAACAGGAAGCTCTCGGTGTGTCTAAACATTCTGGTGACAACAAGAGGCTCAATACTAAATATAACCCATTGGACTGAGTCTGAGCAAAGTGTGAAGTGTGCAATCTGAATTTCAGAACGACCTCATAGGCGGCGTGGCGAGAAGGGGTCGACGTGTCAGCGTGACATCCTCACATTTTGAGGTGCACAAAAAAATGTGACCACCACCTGCTTTATTTAGCTGATCATTCAGATACAATCAGAGAACACACACACACACACACACACACACTAACCATAGCTGGCGAAAGGCGGTGTGCACGTGTAAGAAGTCATCAGTTAGTCACTGAGAAAATAGGTCTGCAGGGTCTCCGAGGGAGGCCTGGCCTAAAAAAGCGACACCATGACTAACACGCAGTCTAATGACATACAACACCAACAACAGGTCGAGTCTGAGCACGGCTGCAGCTGGTACCGGCTCGCTCTCTGCTGTATCACACGCCTCCCCCACTGGAGCTCTGCGAGTCTCCCCCCCCCCCCCAGCAGAAGTGCAGTGTCACTCCCCTCGGCCGCGTGCCGCTGGACGCTCGTGCACCGGCCCCGACTTGATTGGACGTGACAGCGGGATCGCAAGAGAGGGAGCTGCAACTCGGCGACCCCCCCCTCCCCCCCCCCCCCGAGCAGAAGTGCAGTGTCACTCCCCTCGCCCGCGTGCCGCTGCACGCTCGTGCACGGGCCCGGACTTGATGGGACGTGACAGCGCTATCGCATGAGAGGGAGTTTGCAATTCGCGCGACCCCCCCCTGGACCCCCCCCCCCGCTGCCCCGGCATCATTGCTGGCTGTGAAACACACGTTCATGTCATACGTATGCACACAAAACAAAGCGCACATGCAGATCCGAGAGAGGCAACACAGTGAGTGTGTGGTTAGTTTAGCAGCTTGGGAGAGTCCGTGTGTGTGTGTGTGTGTGTGTGTCTGTTGGTGTGTGTGTGTGTGTGGGGTGAGTTCAGGGAATAGCAGGGCTAATTGGCGCAGCTGCATGCTCACTAGCAGACCCACGAGAGCAGAATAACCTCCATCTCTGCGTTCACTCCCTCACATGCAGCTTCCTCTGCAACTCCTCCTCGCCGCCCTTCATCAGAAACCAGGCAGAGGAGATAAAAAAAAAAAATAGTCAGATGCACTGGGTTAAAAAGAAAGAAAGACAGAAAGGGGGTCGAGGTCGAGGACTCCTTGGGCGAGGAGCGAGCGGGAGGGGGAGGAAGAGGGAGAGATGCTTAGAGGTGAAGGATCAGCCATCATATCCTTCATGCCTCAGGACGGCCACGCTTATAATAGTTACATCAGGGATGTGAGGAGGGTGAGTCAGTCACAGGGAAAAACAACAAACACACACATGACCCGCCGTCCTCTCTTGACACACACGCACACAGACACACACACACACACACACAGCTTGAGGGTGAGGGATGGAAAGGCCAACATCAGCGCTGGACACTCGCTTTTATGTGTTGTCTTCATCTTGTGGTGAAAACAAAATGTTTATTCTTAGTATATATTTACAACACGTAATTATTGAAACCCGCATTCAAATGATGTCTTCACGTTTGTCCTCGGGCGAGTGTTTCTTTGGGAAGTACTAATCCATACGTGTGTTGTGTTGTCAATAACTGGTGTGGCATTAGCGGCACGTTAGACGTTTTCCCTGAAGAACCTGCAGGCAGCGGAAGAGTCGAGTAAGTCTGAAATGTCACGTTTTGTTAAAAGTCGGCCTCCATCTGCATTTGTGTGTTTTTTTGTTATGGCCGTCATGAGTTTACAGCTGCAACATTAACTACAATCCTGGAAAAAAAGAGCTGCAATTTCAGTTAACAGGTCTAGAAAAACGGAACAAAACGGGCCCTTAGAAATAATTCAAACATTTCCTTTTTTTATTGTCTTTTCATGCAACAGAACCGCTTCCCCTAATTGTGTCCCCGGATGAGAGACGTACACACTTGAGAATTTACCGTCTACCTGAACCCCCCCTGACAGGCAGATAAGAGCGACTGCTCATCGTGGGAGGAGAGATCATTTAGTGGGGGAGGGGAGAGGAAGCGAGAGGGGAGGCGAGGTAGGGGGGGGGGGGGGGCGCCACTGATTTTTCACTGATAAACATTTAAAGCTCCACCTCACCGCACCCAGCAACAACTCCACGCAGCAGCAGGTGGGCTCCTGCCCCCCCTGTACTGCGGAGACAGGAAGCACTCCACATTTAACTGCCTCATCTACGTGTCTGTCTTTTTTTCTTGGGTTGACAAAAATGAATTTCACTTCTGCGCGGCGGTTGAGTGCTAAAGGCAGACAGCAGCCCCTGTACCTCAAAGCCACAGTTGGCATCAGCCATTCCTCCTGAAACTTTGTGTGAGTTGGTTTCTGCTGTCGGCTGTGCCACGAGGCCCCTCGGGGGCAGTAAGAGACCTGCAGACATTCGTCGTAGACTCCTGCTGTAACTGTTGTTCAACCAGGTGGATTCAAGGCCCGCCCATACCTCTATACACCGAATGTACCACATGACACTCAGCTGTGGATCAATGGGGGAAAGGAGGCCCCATCTCTTCGGAAGCTTATAACCTTTCCCTAAAATCTAAAAGCGTCCTTCACTTTGCCAAGAAATGCTGCTGCAGTCAAGCTGATCACATCAGAGGCGCTCGTAGCCTCGGAGCGCGGCCATCTCAGCTGGACAGATGTGTCCTCTGCGGTTTATTCCTCCCTGATCTGTTTGTCTCCTTTGCGGAGGCAGCGAGTCGATTCAAACGCATTCGCTCGGATCTCCGTTAGACACAGAACATATAACTAAAATAAATCAATGGATGTTTTTTATTTGCATTCAGACGGAAAGCCGGCTGACGGCGTTTTGAAGCAGAGGTCGTTTAAAAGGGGAATCTGTCATCTTCAGCTTCTCCTGATAATCATTATCAAGTGATTGTCGCCATAAAACAAACCGGCTTACGGCACATTTTCCCTTCAGAGCGCTTTGTGGTGAAAAGTAAAAGCCGATGATGAAATGTCTGCTTGATTGAAGGGGGAACTCCAAGCAGCTGTGTCTCCGTTCTTCCTTCTTATGGATGTGGTTTGCGGTTCGTTGAGAGGATTTACTTCTTTTTCTTCATTTTATGTTTGTAAATTGTATGTCTTTGTGTTTGTGCTGCCAAAGAGGTCAACTCACACTCTGTTATGTCTTCTCGTCTTAATTTCATATTAAATGTCTTGAGTCCACCCAGAACATGTTTTATTTATTCTTTACAAAAACTGGTTTGTTAAGTATGGAATATATTTCTAAATTCTACTGAATCTCTGCACCGACAGGCTGGCTGATCATGATTGTCTTTTAATCGATCTGCCGATTGCGGATTAATTCATTAATATTGGCTTTTTTTCCCGATAAATGTTTTGAAAAAAAATCAAAATATGTTCAGTTTAAAAAAAATAATGGAAGAAAAAAAAGAAGTCTTAAGAAGACTTGAAAGAAAGACGGATGAACGCGCTTTCTCTTGAACTTGCGGGCGTTTCCAGACAAAGAGCCACCTTCTGTGTGTGTGTGTGTGTGTGTGTGTGTTGCCTCACAGGTGGGTTAGTTACTCAGGGGGGTCGGGGGGGCATTTTTTCCTCTCACGCTGCAGTCAAAGCTGTGACTCTTCCTGCGAGCTCGGATTAAAACCCCCTTTGCTTTGAACGTCTGGTTTCACCGCAGGAGACCGTCAATCAACCCGTCAATCAACCCGTCATCACTCATTCATGGACTCATCTGGATCGGCCTCAACTCCCTTATCACTCATTCAGAAATTGAGGACTGCAATATTAATAGCACTCAGAACCGTTGAGGGTTTTAATGGTCTTCACTGGAGCCGCGGGAGCAGCTCATCCTGCAGAAAGTCAGCGTGAAGAACCGAAACACAACACGACATCGTGCATAATCCTTAAAAATTTAGAGGATCCCGCCTGCAATTTCTTTTTTTTTTTTCCCCCCAAAGACCAAATATCCACACTCCACACAACGCAGCTGTGGAGCTGGTTGATGACATCGTCATCCGGGTTCACCAAAACATCGCTCACACGTTTAAACGAGCATCGTGTGCGGCGTCTACTACCAACACCCGAGCAGAGAGCAGGAGGCCTCACAATGTCAAGGGCGGAGGAGTGAGGTGTATTGAGGAGGAGGAGGAGGAGGAGGTGGAGGTGGAGGAGGAGGAGGAGGTAGGAGGAGGTAGGAGAGAGAGGTGGAAATAGAGGTATTGATTCTACTCCGTCTTACCCATATTGCCTCTGAGCCCACGTGGGATGGACTTGCTGAACTCCAACAGAGAGACCTGCAGACAAAGAGACGCAGCGGTGAGGACAACGAGAGACGAGCAGACAAGGACAGAGACGCTTTCTCACTAACAGCAACGCACAATGACCTGTGACCCCTCTGCCTACAGAGTTCACCAGGAATCAGCCGAGGCTGAAGGAGAAATCTCTCCTCCTCCTCCTCCTCCTACTGTACAGCCATGACTCCCTCAGTCCTCCTCTTTTGTTCAAACGCACATTTCCTTTCTTCACTCGGACAAAGAGGAGACAGACGCACAGTTATTTAATTCTCCCAACAGTCCCGTCCCCCCTCCTGCTCTCCTCATTCTCTCCCTCCGTCTATTCTCCCTGGCACACAATACAAGAAAATAGCGAGCGCTGCCATCTCCCATCGGCCGGCGTGCTCGGGGGAGTCGCGTCGCACAATGAGGACACGCAGTCAGTTGTTGTTGGCGCCTGTGTTTGTCATTCGCACCTACACTCGGCAGTATTTCAGCCGGCGAGCTTTAAGAGAAGCAGAGAGAGAGAGAGATGCTGTCACGGTCTGGTGAGCAGCGAGACGTCGGAGGGGGGAGGGAGGGAGGGAGGAGGGAGGGAGGAGGGAGGGAGGAGGAGGGTGAGGCGTGTGTGCTGGTGGTTGACACTGAAAAGGCCCAGCGGCAGGACAGCTGTGCGTTAAGTCAAGTACACAAACAGTAGTGGGAATGAGTCGGCTGGAAGGAGCACAGTGGTTTTTATCCCACTAACCTCCAATCTGTGCACATATTCATTGGTCCTTAGATTCGTTCACGGTTTATTTCAACGCACGAAAAGCAACATGCAAGAGACCAGAAAATCGCTTGCGATCCGTCAGCAGCGACCATTCAGCCTCCCGTCCGAGCTACGACTATCATCAGGACCACTTTGATCGCCGGCCTCGTGTTGCGCTGCGATAATTGAGTCTTTGAGGTGTTCTCTGGCGCCTCCTTCATGCACACATCAGATTGTGGATGAAAAGCTTTGCACATTCGACGCCAGCAGCTCTGGTTGAGCTGGTTAAAGCTGATTTATAGGGGATTTTTTTTTTGCAAAAACACAATTCACACACTTACTGGATTGGGAGCTGCGAGGCTTCGCCCCCAGGTAGGCCAGGTTCACGTTGGCCTTCCTGCCGTCGATGATGGGGTTGGCGTCTTTGCACGCTCGCTCGGCCGCTCCCCTGTCCACCATGGTCACCTGTCGACGGTGTCACCGATTAATAAACGCGCTTTGAGCTGCTCAATCGCATGCCAACATGATGGAGCATCAGACCCAGAGCAGGAAGGGGGGAGTGGGGGAGGAGGGGGGAGAATACATCCATCGTTGTGTTTGAATGCTTCCAGTGGGGCTCATGTAGGAGGCAGATCTGTGTGAGTTTTTCACTCTGTGCTGTCAAGGATGAGATACTGGAATCTACCTTGAGGGGGTTTGTGGAGGAGTGGGCAGATAGCAGCGGGAAGGGGGTGGTGAAGGTTAGCACACACACACACACACACACACACACACACATAGTTGATACATGAGCTCCGCCGTTGAAACACTGAAAGTAAAAGCGCCTTTGTTAGCTTTCGTTTCGCAGCATCAGCCTCATGCAAACAGAGGCAGCGGGATGGTTTGAGACATTTTGGGGCCGAGCAGCGGCCGCTGCAGGGAAGTCAGACGTCCCGAAAGGGGGAAGTCGGGGATGAAATGAGCACGCTGTCCCAAAGCGACTCATGACAACCACTGGTCACTTGGCTGATCTGCCGCACTGGAGAGGCAGCGATCAGTTCAACTGCTGCATGTCAGTCCAACCTCCACATCCTGCTAGAGGGGAGGGGGGGGGGGGGGTAGTTAAGCATGAGAGGAAGTCAAAATTAAACTACTGCTGGGCTTATCTTGCAGAGCCAACTGACACCTCTGTGAGCACTCGACCCCCCCCCTGGCTGGCTGCACACACACACACACACACACACACACACACACACACACACTCTAGTGAGTTTTCAGCTCGCTGGTCATGCAATCAGTCAAACATGAATTGAATCCCACGTTTCAGTCTGCATGTGTTCAGCTCCCCTCTCATTCCAGCGGAACTCATCGGTAACTTGAATGCACTCACAAAGCCGTATCCTCTGGACTTGCCCGTCTGTTTGTCCGTGATGACCACCGCCTCGTCGATGTCCCCGAAAGTCTCGAAATATTTCCGAAGTGAGGCGTCGTTGGTGTGATACGGCAGCCCGCCGACGAAGATCTTGGTGTGAGTGGTGTCTTTCTCCATGGTGGGGTGCATTATTTCTAACGGAACCCCGACCAGCTGACCGAGAAACAGCGGGGAACTCATGCGGCTTGCGATTCAAATGAAAAAGAGGATTTAAAAAAAAAGGATAACAAAGAGAAAAAAGAGAAGGGAGCAGCAGAGTAACTTCCCGCTCCTCGGTCACCGAGAGGCTACAAAAAAAACAATGATGATAAAAACGACGACGACAGCTCGTCCATGGTTAAACACGCAGCCTCCGGTTGCAGCTCGCACAGCGTCTGCATGCGTAGTCCTGCTGACAGGTGTCTCGGAACCTCATGTCTCCTGTCTCGGAAGAGAGAGAGAGAGAGAGAGAGAGAGAGAGAGAGAGAGAGCGCGGCACGTCTCGTCCAATAGAGGAGCCGTGCGTCTTTTCCATCGGCGCGACCCGCCTCCTGCTCCACCCTGCTGCGCACGCACACAAAGACACACAAAGAAACACACGCACACGCACACACACGCACACCACACAGCAGCTGAAGTACTCTCACCTATAAAATGGAGGAATTGAATATCCATGAATGTACAGACGAGCGGGCTCGCGCACCAGATGCCTTGTTCTGCATCACCGGTCGTGACGTCACATCAGGGGTCACCAGGTCAGGAGCGTTTGGCCTCCGGGTTTTACACTGAGAACGAATATCTGGGATAAAAGCGCTGTGGCTCATTCACATGAAGATTAAAAAAACAACCAGAGGTGGCGTCACAATGACTGAATCAACTTCTTTGTATTGTCTTTGTATAACAACGTATTGTCTAATAGTACAATACAAACAGGTAGTATGAAGTTCAGTGTAATAGATGTATGTCAATGGGACTGCCACGATGGGAGGACAAGGACTAGGACCCATATGTAACCACAGGAGCCAGTATAATAGTTATCAAATATATTTGTTGCCCCAAAAGACAAATCACGGTGTAAGTCCCGTGACTCGACACCGGGGCAGGTGCAGTACTGGACCTGGAGAGAGACAGTCAGAAACTACAAGGTCGGGCAGTGGAATGTCAGGGTTTTTGGACTGCAGTACCCTGAAGGACCATGTGGGGTCCTCGGTGATCCAGTTTATCCTGTCACGTGTGTGTGGTCTTGATTGTTTTCATTGTGTTCACCTGTGCCTCGTTTTCTGGCCTTTAAGAGGCCACCTGAGTTTCTTTGTGTTTGCAGAGTCTTGGAACTCGCCACCCGGAGCCGAGCCGAGCCGCGCCGCGTGTGTGTCTAGATGTGCTACTGCTGTTAATCCTGTTTGGTTTTTGAGGTCTTTTGTTGCCTCTTTTTTTGGGACACCCCTGGTTACCTTGTTAAATGCCCAGACCTTGTTTTACTTTTCAAGTAAAGAAACCTTTTTTTGATTCCCTACAAACAAATTGTCCCTCTCAGTCTCTGCACCTGAGTCACCATCACTCGTAGCACAGTGGTAGGCGATCCGCCTGATACACGGAGACCCAGGCTCGGATCCCAACGGTCCTGATAGGAACTCCCAAACCGGCCGTGGTGAAATACCGGGGAAGAAGACGAAACGTACTGACAACCCAAGCCTGCAGGACCACGTTTGAAATAAGCCATCGACGAGTCCACATCATGTACTCGCTCGGGGCTGTGGCATTGATGGCGTCTTGAAGTGGGACCAAGAACACACCGACAACGAGCACATGGCAAAACGGGGATGACAGACGCGTGAGGGAAGGAGACTTTGGGGGGGAAACCAAAGCAAAAGACGAGTCAGACAAGGATCCTGACACGATGAGTCCTTGCTGTGAAAGATTCCCGTCGTCATCCTCAGCCACCTAATTCCATTTCACACACAGATCAGTTGTATCAGTGGCAGCTCGTCCTCGTTGAAAACCATTAATGACTTTCCTGGAGAGAACTCTGCAGAATGGATGCTATTATTTTGTCCTCTTGCATGCGTGTGTGTGTGCGTCCATCTTATTTGCCCACACATCAGTATAGTGTTTTAAGGTTAAACACCAGACAAACCACAACTTGATGAATATCCACAGGAATTTATTCTCCGGCCCTCTCATACATGCTTATTGTTGCCGTACTCCCGGCCTCTATACTCAACAGGTAGCGTAGTTTCCACTGTGAACATCACAATCAATTTGAGGTAAGCGTTCAATTATTGTACAGTTTGAGCCGACCTACAGCAAATGATTTCACATCTATAAATCTCTCACATTGATATTGGTCTCTTCTTCGGTATCTGTTCAGAGGCGCTAGTTGTTATTCATCCTCGTTTAACTCTCTCGGAATAGAATATGTGTGTGTGTTGGTAGTTGGGGGGGGGGGTGATGGCAGAAGAGCTACAGCTGGGCAAACATAGGAGGTGCATTTTAGCGCATCACTGCCCCCCAGTGGTGACTGCAGACGCTGCATCCCTCATGCATCCTCCAGTTCAGGGCCGTTGTTCGCAACCCTCGAACAGTTACATTACTGAAGATAAAGTACTGCCTCAAGTACCGTATTGCTTTTATAATACGGAAATACAAAATTATAATTAAGTAAATAGCTGCCTTTTCAGCACAAAATAGTTGTAGCCATCAAACGTTGTGTGTCTCATTTCAGTAGTCTAGAGAGAAAATAGTCTCTCTAGACGTGCTGTAAACAGCATCGGGTTTCGCACCATCTCATTCATTCACATCGCTCGTGACGTCCATCTTAATTGTCCGGTTGCGAAAGCTTGCATTGTTTGAAATGATCATTTGTGGGATTTCTGGGGGGTTTTCAGTGATGAAGGGTTCTCGTGTCCCCGGGGGAAGTATCATGGCTCTAAACTAACGTATCAGGGAAAGAGAGATCAGATTTCTTTGGACTCCACCTCTCTGGATACGTTGAAGAAACCTGCAAAGATCACATGATCCTTTTTAACCAGAACCTCATCCATCCAAAGCAGACTACAACAAGGGAAGAGGCTTCCACAGAACACCAAGCTGTCTGCTCTGTAGCTGTTTAAGGACACATCTTATATCCTGAAGAGATTGTTTTTCATGTTGGCTGGTTTTGTCCACACGGATGTCTTTATTGATCTGGAAGAGAAGTAAAGAGAAAAAGCCCAATAATGGTTATTTAAAATGAGCTTAAAGGTGCTTTGTGATGTTTAATTCTATGTGAAAAAATTGCTTTATAAACGGCTTCATTACCAAATGTTCCTGGTTTGACTTCAGAATAAACAGTTTCCTCTTCTGCTGCACATCTGGATTTTCCTACCAATGCAAGAATAAAATCTTTGCATGTTTGCCAGTAGTGCCCTCGTTAAAAAAAAAATAATGTACTGATATACGTTATCAGAATTGTAAAACATAAAACAAGATTGTATAAGTGTAACATTAAGCAGAATAGGTAATACTAATAGTTGAAGTAGGAATAGACAGGCATTATTTAAGAATATTTAAAAAACAACAAACTACCATTTTCTAACTTTAACAATGTGTTTGTTTTGGATGGAGACAGAACTCACATCACAAGGAGTCAATACCTGATGTGGACTTTATTTACCTTCATTGCTCTTCTTTCCAGTGGGGGGGTGAACCTGCGCATACGTTACGTAATCTAAAAACACAAGACACATTTACAGTTGAATATTGATGGATGGATAAATATAAATAAATGAAATGTGGCATCCGCCTTATGTTTGATTCATCACTGCATAGTATTCATCATTTCTAACTAATTTAAATGGCTAACAATTTAAAAAAGGTCTAAAGTCAGTTGTGTGCTTGTATGCAGGATGTGTATATTGTTGACATTGGCCACATTAGACGACGTATGAACGTATTAAACTAGAGCAGGTAGCACCTGTTAAATACTAGAAGCTGTGTTGGCGTTGACTGTACCTGCAGCTGATGCGATCCTCACATCTGAGTAAACGGGGCTCTCGTCTGGTTCATCGTGCTTCTCTGTCACAAAGACCACATGAAGAACTTTGATGAGAAGAACAAAATCATCTCAGCTGTCAAAAGGTGATTCTCACTATACAAAGTAAATCACCAACCCTTCTTTTTAAGGTGTTTGAGCTCAACCACAGAATATGTGAGGCTGGATTCATCTGAAATGACAATTTCTTGTTTAAAGTTAAGAATACATTATTTCTTGTTTAATTCAAGATATTTTGCATTGAATTTGAATCATCTAAATCTAGTATTTCTAACAGTTCTGTGATGAACACACAGGATGTATTATTACAACATGTTCAGGTTCTTCAGAGTCTTTGATTGTTTCATAGAGACAAGAATCACCTGCAGAGCAGTGAGGATAAAGACGAGGTCGTATCAATCATTTGAACCACTTTGTATCAATTATAGAATCTTCTCAAACAGATAACCAGAAATGGAAATGTTAGCATTAAAGTTAAGAACACATTATTGAATAAATCAGGACTAAAGCTGACCAGGAAGAAGAGAAGCGTGATGTCCGTCTTTTGTCTCACCCTGGTTGATCATGTGGTCTGTAGCTGCGCTCTGATTGGTCCTCTGAGACCTTGTGGGTCCAAAACATGAAGTAAATACAGAGGATTTAATGAGGAACATGTAAAGTCCTGCTGCCATGTTCAGAGTGAGAGAAGAGAGGCTTGTACCAACCTGCTGAGGCTTGAAGCTGCAAGAAAAAGGTTTCACATTGATCATTAATTAGTGTGTGTAATAATATCTGTGACTTTGACTTATTTCAGTGAAATCAGTCTGATATCAGAAGGAAAAGATCTCACCTTCTGACTTTCTGTAGCGACGCAGAAACAGCAGCAGGAGAATAATCAGTAAAACTCCAGAAACCAGACCAACAACCAACGGCACGAGAAACACAGAGCTTGATGCTGCTTCTTCAGGATCTACACACAAGTACACACCAACCATGAAGAGATACACAAGTAACAATAATAATACAGTTTATTTATAACACACTCTTCATCAACAGATCTCAGAGTGTCACAGAGACAGAAAAACATACTTAAAACAAAGTAAAACTAGTAAAAACACAGGTACTAATGTGTTGTAGTACTAAACAAGTACTACAACACACACACACTCAAATACACAAACATGAAGCCTTGATCACACAACAGTCACCTTTCACTGCTGGTCATGTTACATCTCTAATATTATGTGTTTTTACTGAACATGAACATCTTTAAAACTATATTGTCTCACACAAACAAATAGTTTATTTTAAGATAACTTCTAATTCAGTGACACCTTTTCTCACTCAGACTGTAACACATGTTACAAAACTCGTACTCACATTTCACTGACAACCAGCTCTCTGCTGAGGTCAAAGTCTCCAAACCTTGAGGTGATTTCCTTCCTCTACATTTATAAAAGCCTTCATCTGACTTAGTAACTGCAGAGATAAGCAGCTCCCCTCTGACAGGATTTGGGATGAGTTTGTCATTTTTATAGAAATCCACATTATAAAGAAGGTTTTCTGTCCTCAACTTGCAGCCAAGAGTGACGGAATGTCCCTCAGTCACAGGATGGACAGGACTCACCAGGATGACATCACCTCCTGTAAAGAGACCAGAGGACAGGAAGTCAAACAAGCTGATGAACAATGAGGAGAAGACATTTATAGTTTACATTTGTTGTTCACATTCACACAGTAGCTGAGCGAATAGCTGCATTTCATGGATGGAAGAGACGGCCCTTTGGTGACGTACATGCTCACAGTTACATCTTTAATTAATGCTCAATATGTCGGGAGACAAATGTCCACTTAGTGGCAGTGAGCTACAGAATGGTCTAAAAGGTACAAAGTGAGCAGATAACTCTACAGCCCCTCCTGGTTTAAAGTCAATGGTGGATGTCAATGGTCATAAAGAGGAAAGTCAACCACAAAGACGTGTTGGATAATACAGAGAAATGATCGTTTGTTAAAATAAGTATTGAGTTAAACTCATCATGAAGTCACCTTAGAAATGTCAGCACTTTGTAATAAGATGTGTAAATACTTTAGATATAAAACCTTTAGATGAATATAAACTCACTGTGTATAGTGATGTTTGCTGCATTGCTGAACTGTGTTTCAGACTCACACCAGTACACTCCACTACTCGCTCTAGTGTCGGTGTTGCATGTGGATCCAGTCATTTCTCCCCACTTAAGACAGATTGACCTGTTGCCATCTTCATCAGCCATCTTCACTCTCCACTCAGTAGAGTTTCCCTCACAGCTCAGTGACAGTGACTCTGTCCTGAAGTGCTGCAGTCTGTGAGGACTCACTGTGAGAGACGCTGCTGGATTCACACCTGAAGACACATCATTAGGAGACACACACAGGACAAACAATGTCAACACAAAAAGGACATTTATTCCCTTGAGCAAGAATATAAAAGTCTGAACAAACTCACCTCCAGACCAGACAAACTTCACATCACTATCCAGAGTGTAAGACACAGGATCTCTTCTTCCAGCTCTGCACACATATCCTGCTGTGTGTGTCTGTCCATGAAGAATGTAGGAATCCTGTTCAGTCCCAGTGGTGCCACCAGCTAGAAGCTTAAAGGTGTAGTAGTTGTTGGTGGATGACATGTCTGGAACAGCCTTATACCAGAAGAACCTCCATCCTGCAGACGGAGGTCCAACACTGCAGGTCAGAGTCACTGAGTCTCCAGGACTCGTCCATGATGGAGACACTGTGAGGACAGGACGAGGGACATCTGTTGGAAAGAGGTTTGACAGAATAAAGACGTGTTATGATGAGTCCTTGGTGGATTACTGTCACTGCTGATGTCCTCCATCTTTTTATCTGTCTTCATGTGTTAAACAGGTGTTTGGGTACAATGTCTTTAAACATAGTAACTAATCTCACATTTCAAATATTCTATTTCAGATTCTTTGTCCTTAAATCTGCACTTGTAAGAGCTCCCATCAGACATCAGAGAAATGGTGATTTCATGTGTGTGTTGATGGTTTGTGTCCATCTTGTGGTGGAAGATTTTGCACAGACAATCGTTAAGTAAGAATCAAAGGCTCTGAGTCAAGTATGTCTTTTCTCCGTTTATTTCCTTGCAAGGGAAAAAGGGTCACAACAGCTACGTGGTCAGTAGACTGTCAAGAACCTCCTTTTCTTCCCAACACATCGAGGCAGTTCTTATACCTAAATTTAGATATCGGTGGCGTCAACAGAAACCGTTGACCATCTTGTTGAGTCTCTACAGCCAGGGTACTGGGAACACCTTGTCCATGTGAGACACGTCAGTTCTTTGACCGTGTCCCTGCTCTCCCAACATGCTAAAACAAAGGTGGTCATAGACATAACAAACACTTTGTTCAATCTCTACAGCTATGACGCTGGAAACATCTAATCCAAGTGGGAGACATCAGTTCGTATGTCAGGGCCTTTGTGACCTAAGCACTTGCAACTAATAAACTGGTTATACAAATGAAGCATTTAAAAGGGTCACATATCATTTTCCCATTACAATCTCAATAAGTGTTTTGTCTTTGTAGAAGTCAGCCTTCTTCTCCTTTCTCTGGTCTCCATGTCGACAGTGAAGAGTCACTGATTCTCCTTCATACAAGGAGGACGCAGGAGTTAA